GGGACTATGTCACTCATGTAGACTTTAGTGTTGGAGAATGAACGTGGTTTTCCTTCTTAGTTATGTGTGCTTTAGCTTCACTATAGGACTTGAAGATTCCAGAAATCAAAATTTGGACTTTGGCAGGATTTGTTTTCAGTCATTTAATTTTATACATGGCTATTAGTTGTGTCTACTTTTAGAGGTCACAGGTCCTGGCCTATCTATCTACAGGGGATCCCTGACAGCTGCTTCTATGTAGATCCTCTATGTAAGGCCAACTGCCAGAGCCCCATCTTCCTCCCCAAGTTCGGGGACATATTCCTGCCCCCTACTCCCAGCAGCACTTCCTATAGCCCTATCACCCCCAAATTCATATTAAATAGCATTACTGTGCCCTCATACTGTGGATTCCCTCAGTAGAGAAACTGGGACTGAGAAGAGCTTACAATCTGAACTATTCATTTGCTCATTGTTCCAAAAATTCTTTGGAGAAACTGACACCACCCACTCCATCAAGATGAGTCAGTTGGAACTGGTGATGAACGGACCCAGAGGTTCAGACAGGAAAAGTGAGTCTAAGACAAAAACTGCCATAAAAACATGGTCCTGGAAAAGCAGTTTTGATCAAAGATGAGAAGAGGGAAGTAGAGGGCAAGGTAAGGGAAATGAAGGAGGCACAATTACAACCACAGACAAATAGCAAAAACAACAAAAAGAAAAATAATTTCCATGGGCAAAAGAACCAAACTAGTAGAAGAGAAAGAGGAAGAGTGATGAGTGAAGAGAGGAAAATGAATTAACAATGGTGGTAATTACTTCTGTTAGATGCATGATCCTAAAATATAGGAGCGAACCATCCTATCCTGTGATTTCAAAAAGAGATTGGTGAGAAACAGAGAAGAATAATCAAAGAATTTGTCCACCGAGGACTCTCCAATCACCAAATAACAATGAAAAAAGCTACCGAAAAAGTTTAAATGTTTGCCACTCAGATAGTGGTCGGCAGAGCAGCTGCATCAACATTACCTAAGATTTGGCAGGAATGTGGGATATCAGGTCCCAACACAGACCTAATGAACCAGAATGTGCATTTGAATACAATCCACAGGTGATTTGTGGGCACAGCAAAATTTGAAGAGCACTGGATTAAACCAAAATGTTTGGAGGCTTCTCAGGGACTTAGGACAGGGATCTAGCAAGTCACAAATTGGGGAACAATTGGCAACCAGCAACCGGAATCCAGTCATGATGCTCTAGCTCTTGCCTCTGCTCCTGTCTCTGTATTTCCTTTTCATACTCCTCCTTCCCTTTAATTCTCTCTTTACACTGCATTTATCTGCTTACTAGGGTCATATGGGAAAAATTAGGGTGCCAAAAGCTCATAAGTTTTCACATTGTCTCTTAAGTAACTTATAGAGAGTGGCTAATTTCTTAGTCTTGATGATGAAATTATTGAGGAATATGCTGATTGGCCCAGCTTGGCTCAGGTATTCTTCTGGGGCCAATTAGCAGGGAGAAAGGGATGAAATTCTGCTGGGAAATAAAGCAGCTCCCACTCTGGCCCCATGGCTGGAGTTGGAGGGTGGGTAATCCCATTAACTGCCACCTCCTACCCCTTGAGAACAGGTCAGCATTGGTGCATCTGGGGGAAGTCATTGCTTTAAGGACAGCTGCTCAGGCTCTCCTGGGTCTTATTTAGAAAGGACATTAAGCAGGGCTCCTCTTGGCCTGTGCCTGAGGAGTGATCAGCAGTGTCTTTATGATTGTCTCTGAAAAAAGCAAAGGCTACACTTCACTGAAAAGTTCAGAGCCTTTTATAAGCCTAAGCTGTGGCAGAGTTGACCCCAACCTATTTCTGAGAGAGAAGACTACCATTTTAGCATCTGTCGTAGGTCCTGGGATGTCAGCAAACTATGAGTAGCTGAATAGTTTGGGAGTTGTTGGAAAACTTCAATTTTCAAACATGCATCCTAAATGGCTGAATTTGAAAACCATCCCTCTAGGGGTGAAGTGACCATGGTGAGTCTGTTCTAAGCCAAAAGAGTCAGGCAAGCTGTTTATTCGTTGTAATAGTGCAGAGATATGAACATCCCACATACCTGTGTGGAAAGGACTACCGCTCCAACAAAAATCCTTATAATAGTAAAATAATGTGAAGGATACACTTCCGTGTCCAAAGAGTGCATTTCATGGAAGAAGAAGTTGAAACTAGAAAGAAGATTGGAGATTGGAGGGACTATTATTAATATAGAAATACCAGAGGGTTCTAGAATCCTGGAAATATCTCCTCCTTGGGTATTGTGCTTGAGGTGTTTAAATGATCAGGGAAGGACCTGTTGGTGCTTTGGAATTTGGCCAATAGTATTTGACAACAAGTTGCACCTTTAAAAGAGCTTTTAAAGAACAAGCATAAATAGCGAAGTAAGTGGAGCTGTGTCCAGTAAGGCAGCCTGTGTCAATGTTTTGTTCCATGTTTTCATAACTCTACATATTATGTAAACTATGAATGCTTATTGGGGAAAAAGAGACTTGGGATGCTATGGCCTAAACATGGACGCCTGAGGCATTTCTGGATCCCAGAGCCTAAACATGGATACCTGAGGAATTTCCGGACCTGGGGGCTTAAACATGGACGTGCACCCGAAGAACTTCCGGATCCGGGGGCCTAAACATGGACACCTGAGGAACTTCCGGATCCTAGAGCCTAAACATGGATGTCCACCTGAGGCACTTCCGGATGCTAAGGCCTAAACATGGACCTGCGCCCAAGGAACTTCCAGGTGCTACGACCTAAACATGGATATGCGCCTGAGGAACCTCCGGATCCAGGGGCCTAAATATGGACGTGCACCCATGGAACTTCCGGATCCTGGGGCTTAAATATGGACGTGTGCCTGAGGTCCGGGAGCCTAAATATGGATCCCTGAGGAACTTCCGGATCCCAGGACCTAAACATGAACGTGTCCCTGGAACTTCTGGGTCCTTGTGCCTATAAAGGGCAGGGCATGACACTCAGAAGGGATGTGGCCCATGAAGGGGAGCTGAGTATGGGGCCTGTTGGGGGGCAGACTGAGCTGTCGCACCCTGAACTTGAATGTGATGGTGGCCTCACTTCCCGGCCTTCCCCTGGGTGTCACTTCCTCCCCTTCCAGGGGATGCCGGGGAGGAAGTGAGACCAGGGGCAGAGGCCAGGCCCTGAGGAGGGACACCGTCTTTCTCCTTGCTTAGCCAGGCGCCCGGCCTGGTTGGGGACAGGGACGTCTTGTGACACTGGCTGCCTCCTGCATCCCTGCCCCAGGACCTCAGGGACCACAGGTGGGGACAGTTGTTGATTCTCCCCTGGCCGCTGACCCTCAGCCCCGGGGTCTGCCCAGGGAGAGCTCTGTCTCCCAGAGGGTCAGAGGGCCCCTGTGACCTGCTGCTCCTTACCCACCGTCATCCTGGGCAAGCACAGGTCAGGACACCAGACGCTACTGAGAATGACATCTCCTAGATGTGCAGCTGGGGACTTTGCCTCTGTCCCCAGGCCTCGGACACTGGATGATCCCCCCAGAGACAGAAAATAACCCCACACTGCCCAAGACTTATTTTTAAGCTTTGGATTCTGAAATTTTCCTGCTGCCACCTTCTTTGTGAAGCCAGTTTTTCAACAGAGACAATATTCCAGGGGAAAAAACAAAACAAAACATGGAGTCAATCAAACCAAGCTGACACATCTGGTCCTCCAAGAGAAATCTGGATTGGAAGGAGAACAGCCATTTTCAACTGAAGAAATAATGAAGTTCCCTTGTCCTTATTTTGTGTAAGCAAAATAAGTAATCTGATGTTAACTCATCAAATTATTTTTGATGAGTGGTTGGCTCATAGGAAAACTGATTCTGTTTTATGGAATGAAGTGTTACCTGATTTTAAAATTTAAAATGAAGCCAATTAGGATTGTTAAATTACACTGTCATAATTCTGTTCTTTGATAGCAGAAATAAATAAACCTTTTAAAAAAATGAGACTTGTTTGTATTTTGTTTGTCCAGATTTGGTGACTGACCATAGCTCACTTATTATCTAACTGCCTTTTTTCAAGGCCTGTTAGTAGAAAATGAAACTCCCTGACGATGTGCATGATAACATGATCTCTAAAACGCCAAGTTCTATTGCAGTGACAGCATCATTCTCAGGGGCCTGGAAGACTCTGATGTCTATAGGGTTGGAATTATGAGTTTGTCAGTAGGATCTATGGCACTGAGGCAAAACAGGAAGTTGATCAAGGCTCTTCCAAGGATAACATCTGTTTTTACTGTTGTGAAATAGCATAAAGAATATGGGATTTTAGACTGATGGCTGAACATTTCTCACCATCTCCCCCACCAATGGGATACTTAAGAATGATGATGAGCTTGGTGAGCGTAATGACAAAATTTAATCTCCCAGTCTCTGGGAACAGTGGTGCACACCTGCAAACCTAGCAACTCAGGAGACTGAGGCAGGAGGATGACAAGTTTGAGGCCAGCCTCAGCAACTTAGTGAGACCCTCAGCAACTTAGTGAGAACCTGTCTCAAAATAAAAAGTTAAAACGACTGGGGATGTAGCTCAGTGGTAAAGTGCCTCTGGGTTCAGTCCCCAGTACCCACCCCCCAGAAAAAATACAATCATAAAATTCAGGTGGACAAATAAAATCAAGATCGGGAATCAGATATCTCAATTACTAAGGTTCTCTGCTTTTAAATTGATCACTGTGGATAAAATGAACACTGGGTCCACAGAGAAGAAAGAAATTTTAATTTCAGTTACAGTATAAAGAGAAGGGTCTTTTATAACTAAATAGAGGCATCTGTTTTGTTTAAATTAAGGGTCTGTAAGTACCAGCCAGGGACATAGTTGACAGCCATTCTATAATAGAGTTGTAAATCATGGGGATGGTTAAGGAAGCAAGAAACACCACATTCTTGCTTTGTTCAACCAATTAAGCAATAAGCCATCTGGGTCCTATTGTTAATTACTACCAAATACAACTTACACAATTGAATTCAACCTTTTATTTAATTATATTAATTTATCCCAGCAACTTCAAATACCCACAATGACAACAATAAGATTCTTTAAAAAAATAGATGTCTTATTTAATTTTTATTCTTAAACCATTAATACCCTTTACAAGGTTGCCATCTGACAATTTTTAGCTCCATCTCAGCCTTAGGATGTTAGGGGAAATGGTTTTAAATAGAGACAGGTCTGAAGCAAGAAGACAGTGGTTAAAATCTCTTCTCTAGAAAGGTGATGTGTCTAATGCTGTTCAGTAGTAGTGTTTGTGATGATGAAATGTTCTATATCTGTGATTTCCAATAGCCATTAGCCATGTGTGGTTCTTGAGCTCTTGAAATGTGGCCAGTACATCAAGGAATTTTTTAAAAATTTTGTCTAATTTTAATGGATTTCCATTAAATGCACCATATTTGGCTAGCGTCTACCATATTAGCACAGGTCTAAGATGCATTCTAAGGATGGAGAAATGCAGTGGGCCATTGACTTGGCAGGCAGAGAATGAATATATAGTTATAATAGGTATTATTTGGAAACATTTCCTACCTAGTTTTTCTTATTTGACACATCCCAAAGGATCTTTAAGGGAAGGTTTCTAAGCTTACCATGTGGAAAGCTAGCTCCATCTGGGAGAGAAATGCACATAAATGGTGCTTTCTCAAATAGCAGAACTAACCCCACTTAGTAACTCTTACAGCCAAACTAGGTCACAGCAAGGAAAACTATTTCTCCTTTGTTAGCCTTATCTCTGCTCTAATTAAAGTGTATTGTCCCCAAACTTTTGGAAATTCAACCCACAAACACATTTAAGGGTCCCAGCAAATACTAGGGTCTCAGAGGTGGCCCTGTCAGATCTCACAGACATTAACACCCAGCACTGTTTGTAAGAATTTTGTAAGCATCTTGTAAGAATTTTGACTCAGACTCTCACATTTCCCTTCCAAGGAGTTTTGCCCCTTTGCAAAGTTCATTGTTTCTTGTGAGGTCAATACAAATCCCATAGCAGGGCATCAAGGAAATTTATCAAATGAAAACACATTTGTTATGAGAATGCTCAGTCTGTGCTGATCCTTCTAACATAAAATGACTAAAGTGAAATCTATTGCAACTATAATCTGGTGGTGGTGAATCAAGCTAGAGAAGAGTTAGTGCAGGTGAATGGAGGTAGAAGGTTTCAAGAAAATTCCCATTAAAATGAAAATATTTTATCCCAGGTATGCTGATTCTTTTCAACTGATTAAATTGAGCTGGAGAGTGGAGCCAAAGCTCCTTTCCTTCTTCTCTCCAACCCTACTCTCCTTCTCCCTGTGCCTTTCCTTCCTTCTGAGCTGTGGCTCAACCAATGAACATGCCTATAAACCTAATCAAAGTTTTTGGACTGTCAGAAAATTATAGCCTCTTGCTCTTTCACTTTTTATATTTGGCCACACAGATAATCCAAGGTAATACTACTTGAAGACCAAGAAATTGACCCATTGGATTGATGTACCCAACACTGCCAGACATACATTGCCCAGGTCTTTCCCAGTCAGGGATAAAAGCAAAAAGCAATTGTTATGTACGAAGAAGAAGAAGAAGAAGAAGGAGAAGAAGAAGGAGAAGAAGGAGAAGAAGGGGGAGGGGGAGGAATCTTCTGTAATATACGTTGATCATCTCCAGTGATGAAGACAATGAATCCACTCTTTCTTTTTTAAAAACAGCCAGCAGTCAATGAAATAAGGGGTGAAAAGAAGGGGCTTCTGATATTGATTCACAAAACTTTCTCTCCTGCATCAGAAGCACAAGTACAAAAGAATCTGCTTTATGATATAAACATACTCCTTTAGTTCCTTTGGGGCAGAACTGTGACTTGCCCATGTTCTCTTGCTTTCCGGCATTCATCGTTCATCCACAGGGTGGATGTGGTCAAATCGCCACAGCTGGCTGACTTTTCCATCACACTGACGCAAGTACAAATCTTTATTGTTTTGCTGAACCACAGCTTCCATGCATTTCCCAGAAAGAATGTGGACAATCATTCCATTCTGAAAAGAGAAAAGAAAGAAGAAAACTCAGTTCCCCACAAAAAACAGCAAAGAAAGACTCTTTAAAGTTTTGTGCTGATCATTAAGAGAATGATATAGGTGGTATGAATTGGCCTGTAAAGGAACAGTAGCAATTTTTGGTTAATATAAAATATAATTTAGGTAGTCCTAGAATTTTGATGTCATTCAAAGCCTTGAGGGAATCATTAATCCAATTATCTTTATTATTGTTGTACTATTGTGCCATTTCTTAGAAAGACAGGTATGATAATTCCAGGGACTAGAGCATGTTCAGTATTTATACTTGTATTTGGGATATGCATTATCATCGTATCTATAAATTTCTGCTTTCAAAAAAGCATTGGTTCAATGGGCTGAGGCTGGGGCTCACAAGTAGTAGAGCACTTGCCTAGCATGCGTGAGGCACTGGGTTTGATCCTCAGAACCACATAAAAACAAATAAATAAAATAAAGTTATTGTGTCCACTTACAGCTAAAAAAATTTAAAAAAAAAAAAAAAAAGGTAGAATCAATTCTACCCTGTTAATGCTGCAATTCAGGGCTGCGGCCACAAGGTTACAGTAGAGAGAAAGACTTCAAGGATGCACCAAAAGCCTAAACCAGTCATGCTCAGGAATTGCTCCCTAATCAAAATCTGCCAGCTTTCATGTATGAACATGTAACAACAAATCCCATCATTATGTACAACCATAATGCACCAATAAAAAATGTAGAAAGAAAAAAATCCACCAGATTTAATATTGAATCTAACATCCCCTGTTCAAGAAATATCTGATTTCCTTTTTTAAAATATTTTTTTAGTTGTAGATGGACACAATATCTTTATTTTATTTATATTTTTATGTGGTGCTGAGGATTGAACCCAGTGCTTCATGCATGCGAGGCAAGCCCTCTACCAATAAGCTACAACCCCAACCCAAAATCTGACTTCTTTATGAAATTACAAAAGCTTTCAGCAATGCTGAAAATGGCTGTTTATTTATTTATGAGATAGTCTAGTGGTTTTTAGTTCATTCACAAAGTTGTTCAACCATCACCCTGATTCCAGAATATTTTAATCACTACTCAAAGAAATCTATTACCCATGAACTAATTACTCCCCATTTTTACCTCCTCATAGCCACTGAAAATCACTAATCTATACAATAGGTGTGTATTCACACTTTATTCATTCATGTATGGACATGTGGGTTACTTCCAGCTCTTGGCTATTATAAATAATGTCATATTCCTTTTTCTAACTAAATGATAATACCTTTTTAAGGTTGATTTCTTAATGTTTGAAATATGCTTGGCAAGTCTTGCTAATATTTTACCTACTTTATTTTTTAATTTTTTTAATTTTGGGGGGTACTCGGGATTGAACTCAGGGGTGCTCAACCACTGAACCACATCTCCAGATTATTTTGTATTTTATTTAGAGACAGGGTCTCACCGAGTTGCTGAGCGCCTTGCTTTTGCTGAGGCTGGCTTTGAACTCGAAATCCTCCTGCCTCAGCTTCCTGAGCTGCTGGGATTTACAGGCATGCGCCACTGCGCCCAGCTATTTTACTTAAAATATAAAATATATAATACTTTAAAATGCTGTTTCTAAAATGTTTCTTATTCACAGGACTTGCTTAGAATGATCTTTTATGATCATCCATGAAGGACCTTAACTTGAATTCTATGACTTCTCTGCACATGTGTAGGCCCCTTAGTCCTGGGTTCACTTGTCACCAAAGCCCCAGGAGTTTTGTTCTCAGCTGCTTATTGTGAGTCCAGCTTAAATTTTCCATTATGTGATTTGCTTCTTTTCACAGCCTGCTTTGATAGTACTAGCACATAAGAGTTGTTTGGTTATTTTATCCTCTTTACTCCCAAGCGGAAGTTAAAGAAAAGAAATGCTAAAAATATGCAGATTTGTTGATATATTAATATTCTAAATCAATTCAGAAAGGATTTAAAGTGGAGAAAAAGCTGTAGGTGAACACTTATTGTGGATACCATCACCTTCTCTCTCAATCTGACATCTGGGACTTGCTTATTCTCTGTTAAGTACTTACTTTCTCTGTTTCCTCGTAATTGATAAATAACCTCTTGATGGATCTAGAACTTTATAACCTCTTGATGGATCTAGAATTTCATAACCTCTTGAAGGTCTAGAATTTCATAACCTCTTGAAGGTCTAGAATTTCTTTCACCAAAGATCACAGAAGTCAAAATTTTGCCCAAGGATGAAATGCTTATAATGAAATTTACATTAAAATGAAGAAAGGGATGTTTATACATCTATGTCTATACTATTTTTTTAAGTGAGAGAGGGACTTTTTCTAGTTCCCAAACTACACTTCCAAGGTGGTTGACAATTTCTCCACTATTGTACTTGTGACCTGAGCTAATAAACTTTTAAAAAAGGGTTGATTCTTCTCTCCCCCCTTAATCAAGGCAGGGCTATAAGGAGATGGGGCAAAATAGTTCATTTAGTGATGCTGGTTGTACATTTCAATAGTACCCTTCCCTGATGAGTTGCCTTTACCTCCCTCAGAGGCCTTATGGAACACCTGACCTCTTGGAAGAGCCTGGGAAGTGCTGACTGGGAGTTCTTTCCCACCAGCAGCACTGCTGAACTTTCCCAAATGCGTTGCTCACCTCCTGGAAGTCCCAGTGCTGCTGGTGGATGGCAGAGCCATCCTCTGTGCAGTTCTGAAGAATCACCTGCTCTCGCCTGACATCGAAGCACAGGTGCTGTGGGCTGCCAGCGCGGATCTCTTTCCTGCTGGTGTGCTCCAGGTGCTGGGACAGAGGGAATGGTTGTCAGCACAGCCGGCAAGAGACTCTTTCAGAGATGGAGATGAAGCAAAGAGAACTCACAATAGAACAGGCATATAGGGGCCATCCTTGGATTCTACTGGGGTCTGCAGGACTGTATCTCATGGTCAAGTCCACAAGGCTGCAAGCCCAGCCTTACCTCTGAAGTCCCCACATTCAAGCTGCTCTCCTGTTCATATTTCCACATTGGCATGTTTCTCCATTGTTCTGTTTACTATATCATAGGTAAAGCAATAAAGAATGCTGTGTGTTTTGTGAGTGTGCTGTTGGAAGGGCAGAGGAGAAACCTCTCTGATGCCCAAGTTGACCTCTTTCTGGAGAGGATTTACCTGCTCCTGAAACTCTGCTGTTGATGATATCTGCTGACTCACTCGTAGGTAGGACTACCCTCCCTGTCTTGTAGTAGTGGGTTATTTATACACTTGCAGAGGGGCTCTAACTGTGTAGACTAAGCCTGTGTAGACTAATTGAAAGACATGACCTGACAAAACCATTTTCTGTTTGCTCTTGCTGGATGCAACCCCCAGTGCAGTCACTGGGGTCTCGTGCTTAGAAGGGCTTAATGATCTTGGTTTAATATACTCTGCCATCACTGTCTTGAAATTCTTAATAATTATCAAATTAGAGATACCGCACTTTCGTTTTGCACTGGGCCCTGCAAATTAAGTAGCTGCTTGAGCATTCCCAGACTACACAATCAGCATAAATTTGAACACTGAACACACGTTAGAGGCAAGTTTGTGGACAATGTTTCAGAGAGAGTAATTTTTTCCTACTCAAATGCCCTATGGTGACATTTTTCTTTGCCATTTCCCTGTGTCAGGGGGGTAGATATTTCTACAACTTTCCAAGAACAAGTTCCTCTGTGAAGGTCAAAGCTGGCTTTATTTGGGAGTCTCATTTCCACTGTCTCATCTCCCCTGGGCTGCATGAAGGAGCTCACACCCCTAGATTTCTGAGGTTGATGAAAACCATGCCCTCCCACCTGGCAGGTGGCTCAGCCCATCCCTGTGACTCCATGTTCAGTTGCCTTTTGATTTCTATCCCTGGAGATTTTTCCTTTCTTTCTTGTAAAATCAATTACTTCTGCATGGAAAAAGCGCTTTTCATATATTTTTTAAATCCAGCATATCATATCTAAATACTTAAGAAAAGAAATTTCCACTTATCTAGTTCACAATATTGCTGGATCCAGAAATCCTCCCTAGATTCCTCAAAGTAAAAGCCCAGAAAAGAGCTAATCTTCTGTTTGCATGCAGGAGGCTGCATCATCAACCCCACTTTCAGATGAAGAAATCAACACTCAAAGAGGTTAACATGCCTGCCAAAAACACAAAGCTCACAAATGGGGAACTTGGATCCAAACTCAGCCATGTCTGGACAGCTGTCATCCTCATTCTTAGCTTCCTCAGTTAGCACTTTAAATTTATGTCCTCATCCCTTGTGTCTGGTGTGAATACCTAACAGTGTGTTCTGGAAGATTGATAAAGGAAAGAGCCAGAAGAAGCCAGGTGGATCCTGAGCTTCTCCTTCCCATATGTCCTCCAGGTCCAGGGCCTGCACTGCAAAGCCCACTCCAGACCTTCCAGATGTCCCCTCATTCACCCCAGGCTCTCAGGGCCTCAGCTGACTTGTCCAATGAATACCTCCAGAAACTGAACTATGTTGCTTGTTTTCTAGGGGATTTGGGGGTATTATAGCTTAACTCCTACACAGCCTGAAAGCAAAGAGATTTGACTATATGGTTTGGATATGAGGTGTCCCCCAAAAGCTCCTGTTAATATAGGTACATCCAGAGGTGAGATGATTAGATTAAGATGGACCAATCAGTCCATCTTAGTTTGAATGAACTGGCTGGGTGGTTAACTATGAGCAGGTGGGGTGTGGCTGGAGGAGGTGGGCCACTGGGGGTGTGTCCTGGAAGGGTACATCTTCCCCGTGACCTCTTTGCCCTTCCCTCTTTCTACTTTCTGGTGGCCATGTCCTGAGCAGCATCCGTCCTCCACCCCTTTCTGCCATGATGTCCTGCCTTACCTTGGGACCAAAGCAATCAAATTGGTCCACCATGAACTAAATCTCTGAAACTGTGAGCCAAAATAAAGTTTCCCTCCTCTAAGTTGTTCTTGTTGGGTAGTTCAGTCACAGTGATACAAAGCTGATTAACACACTTGGGTTATGCTTGCTAGGTTATCATCCAAGTTGTGAAAAAAAGTGGACCCATCAACCCTCAGCATCAAAGGAGGCTCTCTGTCACCTTCAGCTTTATTCTCAAAATAGAAATCTGAAGAGAATAAGAAATACCCTAAGGTACAAGGAGACCTTCCAAATGACTAAGAGGCCTACTTGGATGCTGGAGTGATCCTGCTGTGTTTAGATCCTTCCCCCCACTCAATTAACTTCTTCTGTCCTTAGACAGTTGGACCTGCCTCACCCCTGGAGGCATCTGAGTCTGCAATCCCTGAGCTAGTGATTCTATGCCTCAGCTTTCTCGTCTGCCAAGTGAGAGAGTGGGCTAAACAGCCTCCACATTTCCTTCTAACTAAGACAATGCATTCTTAGATGCCAGCTCATGTTTGTGATTATAGCTTAGGATGAGGTGGACAGAGCTATTCTGAGTCATTACTGTGGGGGATATGGGACCACAGAAAGGCGCTACTTCAGAGAGAAGTGAAGGGCATCTTAGAAAAATGGCACCCACTTGCAAGTCTTCCTTGGGCTGCTATCCATCCTAAGAAGTTTGATCACCCACCTGTTGCTGCTGGCTGTCACTGCAAGGGGCCAGCCTCATGGGACAGCCCAGGATGTCCCCTTCTGTTTGGCAGTCTGCACAGAAGCCAAATCCAATGTTGTGGAGCTGAAAGTGGACATGCACACAGAAGTGAATCCCATTGTCTGTGATTTCCATGGTAGAGATACCCTTGTCAGGCCCCACTCCTCTCCTTAATTCTCTGGGCAGAAGCTCAAGGTGCATTGTTAAAGCCACAAGTGTGAGGCCAATTCAAAGCCACTGATCCTAAGGGACACGCTTCCTGGAGGAGGCAGGCCACATTTGTCCTGGTGAGGAGACCTGGGGAAGGTTCTAGGGCAACCTAGATACTTTTCTCAGGCTGGCAAGGAGACCAGGGAGGCACTACAGATCTCTGAAGCCCTTCTGAGCTTGGGACTTCTTTCAGTGCAACAAAAGAGCATTTGAACAATGCAGTTCTTGTCTTGAGAAGCTTCCCTGTCCCTTCTCTCCTCCCCGGCTCCCCTGGGTCATGCCTTACCTTTCCAGAAAACCTGGGCCTGTGTTCAGATGGGTACATCTCAGGGTAGATGTTGGCCAGAAACCAATGGAACGTCCGACAGCCTAGTCTCCTTTGCAGCTGCAAGCGTTCAGTGCAGTCTGGCTTCTCGGCCTGGGAGAGGAGAAGGACCAGCAGGAAGATGAGGAAGATTTGTTGAACACCACAGTTTACAACATAGGGGAGGGACAGAGGTGGCTGGGAAGAAGCTGAAGGACTGGGAGGGGCCCAAGATCCCTGTTCCCAGGGCTGCCAGGCAGAGGTGGGGGTTCATGTACCTGAAGAAGAAGGTTTGGGTAGGATGAAGAGTAGGCTAGATATTACCTAGAGAGAGCTGTGGAACCAGCATGATTGTGATATTGTTAGGGAGTAACTAGCAATGAGTAATGAAATGCAGACAAGGTCACAAGTATTCTTTAAATTATTTTGGGGTCCTTCTTTAAACTAATTTCAAAGTAGATAAGAAAGCAAAGGATGGCAGTTAATTTGTAGAAAATAAACAGAAGCAAGAGGAACTAATTGGGAAATATGTCAAAACAAAAGGATTCATGGGACTAACTCTTGACAGGGTCCATTGATGTTGATGTAAAGCTAGGAATTATGGTTATAAGTGTCTCCAATTGTCTGGGAAGGAAGATTCCTTCAGGAGCACAGGCACACTGAGGTAACTTCTGAGCAGCTATTGACCCCAGTGCAAACATGGGATTGAATTGTAGTTGAAAGCCCATAAATAAGATGGCCATCATGACAGTTGCAGAGAGGACCAACTAAAGTAAAAAAACTCCACCATCGTATATGAAGAAATTGAACACCTGATTGGCAAAGAGTACAGAAGGTGGTCCCCAGCTTTCCTGGTAAACAACAAACAGTAATAAAATTGGGGACAGCATTGTCTCCTTTGTCATTCTCTGCTTGGAGACAGCCCAGTCTCTCTCTTGAGAGTGCTTTTTTCTTAAGCCTCACTTTTCTTTTACTAGATGTTATCTTCACTTTTATTTTGAATGAAGTTCTCTTGCATAACTTTTGGTGTCTGACTTTAAATCTTCTTTTGTTGGAACACAAGAACTGAGGTTTGGAGTTTCAGCTCCCTGCTTTTCTGTGACAATATCACCCCCTACCTACAACTTCCCAACCCTTAAGTCTATAAAGATCATAATGTTTATGACTTTTCTGTGGAAACCAGTGAACTAGTTGGGTTTTGCACCTGTGTTCGTATGGTGCAGAACCATGGGCCTCCTGGAGGCAGAAACTGGCCCAGAGACAACTGAGATGACATCAGTTGGGAAACTGTGGGATGAAGGATGAGGCGAGGCAAGTTTATTTTTCTTCCCTTGTTGGTCCACAATTTCCTCCATTAATGAATCATTTGTTAGGGCTATACTATTCCCACTCCTTGAGATTCTCCTTTATAATACAATTGTATTAGGATAGATATCTGGTCAAATCCTTCACACTAGCATAAATTAATGTTTTTGGCTATATTGATAAAATACAAAGAATACCATCCAGGAGTTTAGTTCTAAGTCCTGGATATTTTTACAGAAAAGAGAAACTCTAAGGAGAGGTTGGAATGGCCAAAGTCCAAAGAGAGAGAGACAAACAGCCATCATCATTCTTCCTTGTCAGGGGAAGAGGAAGAGCATTATCCTCATCCAAGTTCTACCTTGATGGCCCCTCATCTGACGGTAAGACACAGGACCATCAGGCTGTGTGAAGTGAGCTTGGTTTGATTCTGCTTTTTTCCTTGTTAGTTCTCAGATAGAAATGTTGGGAAGAATAAGCATCTGCCATACTGACATCCTCTTGACATATTTCTCAAAGTGTGATTCTCTAAGCACCTACATCAAGGAATGCCCAGGAGCCTGTTAAAAATATTGATTCCTTTCTCTAATTACTAGAGATGTTGAACATTTTTTTCATATGTTTGTTGATTGATTGTAAGGTTTCATCTCATGCCAGTCAGAATGGCAGTTATCAAGAATACAAACAACAATAAGTGTTGGCGAGGATGTGGGGAAAATGGCACACTCATACATTGCTGGTGGGACTGCAAATTGGTGCAACCAATCTGGAAAACAGTAAGGAGATTCCTTAGAAAACTTGGAATGGAACCACCATTTGACCCAGCTATCCCACTCCTATGTCTATACCCAAAGGACTTAAAAACAGCGCATTACAGTGATGCAGCCATTTCAATGTTTATAGCTGCACAATTCATAATAGCTGAACTGTGGAAGCAACCTAGATGCCCTTCAATAGATGAATGAATAAAGAAACTGTGGTATTGGAATATTATTCAGCCTGAAAAGAGAATAAAATTATGGTATTTGCAGGTAAATGGATGAAGTCGGAAATTATCATACTAAGTGAAGTAAGCCAATCCCAAAAAGCCAAAGGCCAAATGTTCTCTCTGAAAAGTAGATGCCGATCCATAATGGGAGTGGGGGATGGGGAGAATGGAGGAACTTTGATTGGGCCAAGGGGAGGAAGGAAACTGGAAGGAGTATGGGGGAAAGATGGTGGAATGAGACATTACATCATTACCATAGGTATGTGAATGACTGCACATGTGGTGCGACTCTACATTGTGTACAACCAGAGAAATGAAAAGTTGTGCACCAATTTGTGTACAATGAATTGAAAAGCTTTCTGCTGTCATATATGACTGATTAGAAGTAATAAAAAGTAAATTTAAAAAAAATGTAGATTTCTACCATATTGAGACGGGGACAAAAAGACAGAGCAGGTAGGTCTTAAGTAAGAGCTGGTTCTAAAGGAGGAAACAAAATGCTAATATCTCTAGGACACTTGCCCCTCCTCTCCTGCCAAAGCTACCTGCCTCCAGAGTATTATTCCTCCCTGCAAGGAGTTGTAGGGGTAGTTGATGAAATACCTCCTGAGAGGCTCCTTTCCTGCCCATTTGGGCAGACACTGGAGAGGAACCCCTGGAAGGCTTTTTTCCCATCATTTGGTCACTAAGATAAGGGGAGCAGGAGGGCATGAGAACCACGGAACTATAAAATGTATAAAAGGGGCAGGACAGTCCCATTTCCTCAGACACCCAGCTTTGGTCCCCCTTATCTTCAGAGAAGTCTCTCTCTGTTCTATCCTTTAAATAAAACTTGCTTTCTACTCTTACCTCGGCATTTCTTCTGTATTCAATATTCAACATCTGGGGAAATGGAACTCAGCCCTGATTGAGTCTCATCACCAGCATTTCCACTCCTTGCTCTTAAAATCAGCATACTATAGAGATATATGTATACTGATGGTTACAGCAGTGCAATTCACAAGTTAGGGAACCAAGCTAGGTGTCCATCAACAGATGAATGGATAGAGAAAATGTGATGTATATACATAATGGAGTTTTTCTCAGTCATTAAGAATAAAATTATGTCATTTGCTGGCAAATAGATAAAAACTCTATGTGAAATAAGCCAGACTTAGAAAATCAAAGGTCAACTGTTTTCTCTTATACGCAGAAGCGAGAGAGAGAGAGAGAGAGAGAGAGAGAGAGAGAGAGAGAGAGAGAAATCCCTGCCAAAGTTCTACTCACTGACCAGTAGGGGCTCCATTCTCCTTGTAAAAGTCATCAGATGAACAAAGAGGGACTTTGTGGATCAGAAAATGAATGCCCAAGTGGATAAAAGAAGAAAAGAGTAACTCACCCTTAGACTTTATGAAAGTAAACCTAGCATTTAGATGGTACTTTACATTTTCCAGAGCACATTTCATTTTATCTTCATAACTGTTCTTGTGCCTCCGAGGTTAAGTGATTTTCCCAGGATCACTAGCTTCTAAAAGGTGAGGGGCAAAGTTTGGCTTCAATTTAGCAAATTTTTTTTTGACCATCCATTCGTTCTATCTATGAATATTCATAGAGCACCTACTATGCACTTGGGATTGAACTAAGTAATGGGAATTTCAGCAGTAAGTAGGATAAAATCAGTCCTTACCTTTGCTGAGTTTGTGAGTCTGTGAACATTTATTGAGCACCTTCTATATACCAAATACATCCCTGCCTCCCCACAAATTCAGACAGAACCAGAGGAGAGATGCTTTATGGGACTCCAGCTGTTCCCAGAAGTGGGTGGTGCCTATGTTTGAGGATTAGTGTTTCCAGATGTTAGGCAGCTAAAAGAAAAGAAACCGCTACAAGGTGGGACAAGTTCTAATTCTGTTACCCTTCTACTTTTAGCTCTAGTTTTGCATCTCTCCCTATTTTTCTTTAGCAATTTACTCTCCCAAGGGGCCTCAGATTTCTATTTTGTAGAATGAAGAGCTTGGCTGAACACAAACAAGTACTTAAAAAAAAAATCACCAACTAGATTAAATTTTCTCAAAAGCAGACCAGTCAGGCTAGCATCATGTCAACTCCCAATTTCTGTAATTGCCTGGAGCCAAGTGCATATTTACAAGCACTTCTAATTGCATCAACAGTCGTGGGAAGAAGGTTGAAGGTCTGTAAATAATTTCCATGCTGTTGCATTGGACTGGCTACAGCCAACATACCACGTTCTGCTGTGCCTGCCTAGCAGAAGGTTCATCCAGTGCCCTAGAAACTACACTATATTTAACACTTTTTAAAGACTTCTTTATCAATGAAGTCTGTGTCAACATTAATTAGGTGTCCTCTGAAAGCAAAGGGCAAATACTAACATCCCAGGAAAGAAAAAGAAAAGCTTTGAATAAAAGAAAGCTAAGAGATTAAAAGCCAGAGCAGCTCTGTAGACTTCTGTAGAACTCTGTAAAATGCTACCTGCACCCCATTGCCAACTGGATAGAGCCTAAACCCTCATCCTAATCCTCAGGGGCCAGAATCGTCCCCTACCCCTCCTCCTCTGGATGTCTGAGTTGAAGCCTCCCCTGAGATGTTCCTCATAGGCCTGTCCAATGTGTCTCTCTCATCTTTGTGGACACTGTCCCCACTATGGAAGCTCCTGCCTCCACCAGGAATCTGACAGTGTTGGGCATGATTCAGTGTCCCCTGAAGGACTCACACAGAGCCTGGCACCGGGCAGGTACTCACTTAACCTTTGTTAATGATTAGTAGCCATGACAATAATGATGGTAGTAAAAACACATGCAGGATTTCCCTGGTGCCTTGCACTCTTCTAAGGGCTTTGGATATATTAATTGAGGAAATTATCCCAACAACATAAGGAAGATTTAGCAAGTGAGGAAGCAGAAACAGTAAGTGACTAAGTCACGTTCAGGATCAAACAACTAAAAAAAATAATATTTAAACCTAAACCATCATGTTCTCGCAGTGCCTGGGCATAACTGTCAGACTCCTAGAGAGGTGTTTGGAGTCTACTATTTCCAACAGACAGAGAAAGAGGATGGAAGAAGAACAAAGATACTAGCAAAGAAATATGTGAGGTTCTTGTGAGAATTTTTCGTTCATTTCAGGTCCCTTCTTGGAGTAACTAAGGAGACTGCCAACTGTAGCGTCGCTCTGTGTCACTCTGTGCAAAAATGTCACTAACTCATGGGGATGAAAAGGGGGCTCTGACCTGTCTAGACTTTGGCATGGAACTGAGACTTTGTGTACCATGAGCACTTCCTCATACCCAGGGATTCACACATGCCAAGCAAGCACCTGACCACTGAGTCCCATCCCTAGCCCAGCACTTCCCAGGTAAAGAAACAAACAACCTTGAGGTCCAAGGAGCACCAACATCCCAGCCTTGGAGCTATTCTGCTGTGGGAAAGCAGGTTGACCCAGGTTTGGCAGGAACAGAGCTTGGAGGACCAGGGAAGAAGGGCAGGCATAGGGCTCTTCCATGGGGCATCCCTGTCAGAGTTTCCCCTGCCACCCAGGGAAAGGCCTATTCAGTGGTGGGAGGGATGTCTCTGCACTTAAGGGTCTCTGCCTTCATCTTTAGCGTGAGATCCTCATATTCAGCTGACACCCAGCATTGCTGGCTGGTGAGGGGCTTGTGGGAGCTGTTTCAGGTTCATTGTGAGTCCTGGGAATCTCACCTTTGGAGCCCCCCATCCCAGTATGGCTCACATGAAGTAGCATTTATGTGACACTCCATAAAATTTACCAGTTGGAAATGTACTATGTGGATATTTAATTAAATGCTTCAATTTTCATTTTTTTTTCGGCTTTTTTGGGACTCTTTATTTTCATGCTTATATTTGTTTCCTGTCTTGGATAATTCCATAACCTTGAGCACTTTGCTCAGGATGGAAAGGCCCTTGGAGGCATGTCTCATCATTTGTCTGTGTCCAATCTCTCCTCTTGCCCCTTGGTAAAGAGTTGCATACCTCAGAGGTCATCTCATAGATATCAGAGAGCTCTAGGCCAAGATCATCTGTAATGTCCCCTGGAGATGCTTGGAGAGACAAAGGACAGGCCCACCAGGTAGAGAAGCCACTTGGGAGGGGGCAACTCAGGGAAGCTGGAGCCAAAAGTTTCTATTTTTCCTTCCAGGCAAGAGGGAGGGGGCCCTCCTGGCCCAGCCTCCAGCAGATGGCCCTGCACTGGGCACAGAACTGCCCACCCCCACCCTCAACCTGGCTCTCTCCTTACCTTGCTCAAAACAAAAGCCTCTGGGCTGTGCCTGTAGAAGGTTTCTTTGAATGACCCCAGCCAGATCTCAGCAAGGCGGACTTTGTTCCGGAGGATGGCCTCCTGGTCAAGGGAGGAGGATTGGGTATCCTGATTTCGGTAGATGTGCCCCACTCTAGAGCAGGGAAGGATTTCAACAGAGCCACCACAGAGCCAGGCCTGCCGTGAAGGGAGAAAGTAAATGACTCTAGCTTCCACTTCCAAGAATGGTGAGGAGGAAGGGACTCTGTTGTTGAGGGGCTAGTGAGTTGCACAGAAATCACGAGCACAAGATGGTCAATATCATCAAGATACTCAGGGTGGAATTTCCAGATTTGGGAATCTGGGCAGGAGAGTGTCAATGTGGGAAGAATGGGGACAGTTTTCCCAGAATGGAATGGAGGGGTGAGAAGCCACACTCATGCAGCTACCTGAACATGCCACCCTTGAAACAAATGTGCAGATTCAGCACCTGGGAAAGAGGCAACCAGGTGTATTAGCACCCCACTTCTGAGAGGATGCTTTCAGGGTAAAAGATGCTTCTAATTGTCAGAGAATTTCTGAAAGTATTTGCAGGCAAATGCACTAGATCGTGTGTGGTAGATGTGAAAATGAGTCTTCCTTAAATCGTCTTCATTATTTCCAGAAGTTTCCCCCTGCCCCTCAATGCTCCCTCCCACTTTCAAATTCCTGAAGTTCATTTGACAGAAAGTCTTTCATTCCACTCTTGGGGATAAAGGTTAAAATGAAAACTGTGGTATGATAGGAAACACATTAATTGGAACATACCCAGGTGGGGGTTACCAAACTGGGTGCCCCGGGGTGACTCAGAGACCTCTAAGGGCATCTGGGATATTTTTAATTTTTAAGAGAAACAGATACATAATGTCTGTTGAACATTTTGCAAACTGCAAGCTCAAGTAATCATACTCATTATCATATCTTTGTGCTTTTGATGATGAATGTCCTTGCTGGGTTGGGTTTTTTGAGGTTGTCAGGATGAAAAAGCAAGTATTGTAGTAAAATTACTGCGGGCAGAAAATGATGGGTGTCTGATCCGATTCCAAGGTTTGAGAAGTTAAGCAGTACCCAGCAGGGACTAAGTTGTTAGGACAAATACTAATTCGTTTGGACCAAACTACTCAACACACAGAATGGGTTGGTAGATTTGGTATTTGTTTAGCCTATGGGTTCTGAAAAAAAAATTGAGCTGAAAAAAAAAAAAACAACTGAGATGCCAAGTGTGCTATGAACAGAGAATACACAAGAGTCTCTGTAATCTTTCACTAAGATGTAAATGACGGATGGTATGCCCTTACCTGACAGCAGGTTTTGAAAGTCAAGTTCAGGAGGCTGAGAATAAAATCAAGGTAGGGACCAAGAGAGAAGGGAGAGAAATGGGAAGTTTGACACACTTTATTGTCATGAATTTATACTTTGGCCACAGCCTCATCCCTGAATTTCTTATGGCTGCCTTTAAGCTGTAACCATACACAGGGTTCCAGAGACCCCAACTGTGTCCTCCCTTGGCACAGGACATACCTTGAAGGACATTTCAAGGTTTTCGCCACCCCGCAGTGACATGAGAGGATCATAGGCTCCAGTGTTTTGGAAGTAATGTCTGTCCATGGCCACCACCTCTCCAGATACCACAGGGCTCCTGCAGAGAAGATGGGCAAGAGAGGACGATTCAGAACCGGAGCACAACAGGCAAAACCGGGGCCTTCCCAGGCGAGGAGTTCCAGTGGCCCAGAGGGCCGACTCTGGGTTCAAGTGGACCTCGGTGTTTTTAATTTCAAGACTGGAGCAAAACAACAATGTCAGAAATCCAAACGTTTTATGGGAAGAGAACAAAGATTGTTAGAATACTGTGAATCAGTATTGTAATGATTTCTGGATATGGTGTCCAACTCTGCTAGTCACTATTTGCCCATCTTGGATGAGGTATTGAACCTCTCTGAGCTGAGTTTCCTCGCCTCTAATTGGGATAAAACAGTGTTTCGTAATTGGGCTTTGTGGGGGTTTGGAAAACAAGTGATGTCAACGGCATAGCACTGTGGAGGCCACATTTTACGTGCTCACTAAATTTTGGTGTCATAAAGCCCCTCTTCTTTCTCTGAAACCTATGGGTCAGTGTGTTTTTAATTAAGAAATTTTTGGACTTTAAAAAGTATATACTGGGCCTGGGGTTGTGGCTCAGTGGTAGAGGGCTTGCCTAGCACATGTGGGGCACTGGGTTCGATCCTCAGCACCACATAAAAAATAAATAAATAAAATAAAGTTATTGGGTCCATCTACAACTAAAAAAATTTAAAAAAATCATCACAGTTAAAAAGAAGTCATATGCTACTTGTAAGCTCTGGTTTGACTCTTTAGTCAAACATACCAATATTACTTCAGTGAAACATTCAAATATTCACAGTAAGTGGGATAAATCAGGCCTGTGTCAACCCCTGCATCAGTCCAGGGCAGCTTCTTCGGCTTTGTGAATTAGGAAAAATATGCTTGATTTTCAGAGCTCTTTGGGTTTCAGTTTTGAATAATGGACTATAAACTTGTACTTACAACACAGTACAGCATAGTAGTGAAACATGGGGTCTCAGGAGCCTGGCTGTCCAGGTTTTAACTTTTGGATCTACCTCTTATTAATTTTATGACATTGAGCAATTTATTTAATCTGCATGTACCCCAGACACTGTAAAGGAGAGACAACCGCCAGCCTACCCCTCCATGCCCTTTCAGAACTCATGATCAGAATCTGTGAGCTTAATTAAACGGCTATTGTCTTACACCACTGTTTTGAGGTGTCTTGTTAAACAGAGAAGATATCTAGGACATCTACTTAAATAGGTGTCCAAAAATCAAATATGTGAAAAATGACCCATAAAACTGGATGTATTTTGAGATTTATGATGTTTTAATATTCACCTTGCTAAATCCTTCATTTATGCTGAACAAGTATTTGAGGCCAAGGAATTTCCAATGCTACCTGGTGAAAGAGCTGGGTCAAGCTCTTCCTCTTCCATTTTTCCAACATCCACCAAAGCCCTGTGGAAGAGCTTCACTGGACTCTATCAATACAACAATGAGAGTAACACTTACCTCTGAGTGCCCAGAGCTTTCTAAATGCTTTTTATATATCAACTCATTTGGTTTTCACAACAATCTTATAAAGTAATACTATTATTATTCTCAATTCACTAATAAGGAAACTGAGGCATAGATTACCTTGTAAGGAAAGTATGGAACCAGGGAAGGACAGGTTGTGCCACGGGGCCTCACCTGATGGGGCTGATGGGGAACCGGAGGGCCTTCCTCTCATTCTCTGGCAAAGGCTCCCAGTGGAAATCCAGCTTCCAGTCCAAGACCCCACGCTGAAGCTCCTTGGACGGATAATATTGGAAAGTCTTCCAGTCAATCACATCTATGACTGGGGATACCACACGGCTCCTGGAAAGAATCGAGGGATCAGACAAAGGACGAAAACCATTCACTTCCGGGATGGAAACCAAATCTATAACATGTGCTGTTCAATATGGCAGCCACCAGCCACTAGGGCCTATTGGGCACCTCAAATGTAGTTTGCCCAAACTAAGATGTGGTATAAAATTAAAATACACACTCTGATGTAGAACTTAGTATGGAAAAGGGATATAAGAAAGCCTCAATAAATTTTATATTGATTACATGTTGAAATAATATTTTGGATATACTGGGGTTACTAAAATATATTCTTAAAATTAATTTCATATGCTGATTTTTATTTTATAATGTGACTGTTAATTTTTAAAAATTACACATATGGCTCATGTTCTATTTCTGTTACATAGCATTGTTCTGAAAATCATGTTTTTCCATAATAAATGGGGGCCCGTTTTGTTAAAGAGTATACCCGCTCCTGTTTTTCTTTTAAAATCTCTTTTAACAGCATCGGGAGACAGAGGAAATGTGTCCTAGGCTCAGCTCTGCCACTAATGAGCTGAGTTGTATGATCTTAAAATAGCTATTACACCCCTCTAGCCTTGGTTTCCTCACTTGTAAAGTGAGAGGTTGAGCTACCTCCCATAAAGATCTTTCTCAGCATAATATTCCAAGAACGTGGTTCTTTTTTGAGAATCAGGAAAAAGTATAGACCCCTCCTGAGAAAATTGCTTTATATGCACACATGCAAACGATCACACACAATGTCAGAGGTTCATGGACTCAGTCTAGTTCTTGTTTCTTCCTGTATCCTAAAACTTCCTTGGCTTGAGGAATCAGGATCATCAAGCCTGGGAGGTATCCTTGGTGTTAATGTTTACAATTTATGAGCACATGGTATCTATAAACAAAGCAAAATATTGAGTCCAGATTTATTTGTTCATTTTCTGCTGCTGTTGGGGGCTGTATTTTATCCCCCATTTTTTTTTTTTTTTTTGCACTAATGTTGATAAGTTTTCAGAGAGAGAGAGAGAGAGAGAGAGAGAGATAGGTGGAAAACTGGCACAGGTTGAAATTTCACTTTTTAACTAAACAAGCCATCACCTGGGTGCACCAGAAGCTGCTCTTTACCTATTAAATATCTCAAATTATATTTTATTCTGGCTCCTCATAATTATGTTTCATATCTGTGCTGTGGAATGGATCTGGTCTGAACTCAGGAGAGGCTGAAGACACCACTTCAGGAATAGTGAGCTTCCTGGAAGGAGATATGCCATCCAACTGCATTTGTCCATCGATTTCCATTTCTGCTTTGTCCATCTTGAAGACAGCCAGGGTCGGAGAAGCCCACACCATATAGACAGGACCAATTATCTGGATCCAATCCCAGGATCCAATTATCTGTTTTACTCTGTCTCCTTAAGTGACTGATGTTGGTGTGGGGCATTATGGTATTCACGTTTAGAGAAAAGATCTAGTAGGTTTTTCTTCCCTTTTTACATTGTTCCACTGAAAAACAAGGGAATTCAATCCTTATAAGTCTTCATTATTTTGGGGTGTCCTGCATTGATCTAAGAAAACCATGAATCAAGAATGAAGTAGAAAGGAAAGAGGGTACCAGACTTCCTCCCCAGTCTTCACTTACTATGGGGATAAATTAGACGGAGGGGATGGATTTGGCTATTTGCAAAGCATTCTGTGGAATTTCAGAATCAAGACCCAAGGCAGCTATGAAGCTGAATTCTGAAGAATTGCATCAGATTTGTACTACATTCATCCATCCAAACAGGACAAAAAAGGAAATGACACTAACACAATCGATTTATCCTAGACTTTCAGGCTGTACACTCAACAAAGGTGGACATGATTGTTTTCCTCCACATTTTTTATTGGTGCATTATAATTGTACATAATGGTGGGATTTGTTGTTACATATTTGTACATGCACACAATTTAACAATATAGTTTGGTCAATATCCCTCCCTAGCAGGCATGTTCTTTTATCAGTAAGTGAGAACTCAGCAACTCATACTATTTTTACTTTGCATTTGTATAAGCTCAGAGTCATGCAAATCTCACTATGTTAGCCCTGATTCCCAATACCTTCCTTTCTGAATTCCCCTTTTCTCCTGTAGTTTGAGTGGGGACATGGAGATGAATCATGAGCCTCCTCAAGTACATGTAGGACGGAGATGGAGAACAGAATGTCAACAAATGAAGGGAGAGATGTTTTCTGTTTTTATTCCCATAGATCACGGTGGCTGATCAATCAGGGCTGAATTAGTAACTAATTCATAAGACTAGTGATTCAAAAAGGGTGATCAATTTGAAACAAAAAAATCCCCACTGTCTTATATTAAGCTCTTTTTTTTTTTGGCACCTACAGGTATATATGTTATCCTCAGAATTCACTGAATGAAAACTAAGAAAGCAACCCCTTTTGACTTGGAGGGATCTTCGAGTGTCTGCTCACTCTGTCATCTTTGCACTTGTGAATTTTTAAATAATCATATTAACACATGTTAATTGTAAAAATGGATGGAATTCACTGTGATCTTTCCATACATGTATATGCCATGCATTAATCATATCTGATAACCCTACTACTTTCTACTGTCCCTTTCCTGTCCCCACCTCAGCACTCTTCCCAGTCTATAAAAGTCCTTCTTAATGCCAGGCAGGTGCAAGGCAGAGCCTCTGGGAAAACTTTCCAAATTCCAGGAGGTCAAGTGTTTGGGTTTCAAAAGACAAACAGAGGCATTTGAACGGTCAACAAAAACTAGCTAACTGAAATATGTGAGGATAACTAATAATACCCTGCTTCCCAGAGATTCCAAAGTAACCGCATTTCAACATTCCCAGCCAATGCTTTCCCAAGAATAAAGAATAGTCCTAGTTTATCTTATCTCTCTTTACTTTTCCTGGGCCTGGATGTCCCTCTAGGTCCGCCATTTTGAAAGTTCACACATATCTTGTTTTTTGTGGAAAGGTCTTTATACTGAGATGAGGCAGCCTCTAAATTCTTTTCCCACAGTTCTTGCTGCTCAGGGACTGGTACCCCAGCACTTCCAGGGTCAGATCAGGGAATTTGTCATGCCAAGGGGTGTGAACGGAATTGGGGGCTGGGGACTTTCTTTGGTGGCTGCTCCCTCTGAGGGGTGGGGTTATCTTGATGCCTTTCTGCTCCTTCACAGGAACCTAGACACACTTTCCCACATTCCTACACAAGCACACACAGGGTATTTCTGACTGCTCCCTCTTTTAACCACTTGAAGAGTAGAGAGGTGGGAGGAGCTCTGTTCCAGCTCCACCTTGTTTCTCCCCACCAAGCAGGATTAGCCTTGCTGAGTAATGGTGACTTAAGGACTTGATATCTCTTAGGGCACAGTCCAATATTTAAATGGGAGACAATTTAGCCAATGTCTTGAAATGACATTGTCATTTGGTTCCTACTGAAGACTGCCTCCTTCTCCTTAGAAACCTTCATTTTTTTAGCAGTATGACTTCTACTCCTTGGCTTGGGCCAATGGAGATGCCCGTCAGACAATTGGAAGCTGGAAATGACAGATGTTCTTCATTTTCATGATTGTTACTGTATATAGAAACTGACCATCTGTCAGCATCTTCCAGGATTGCCCTAAAGCCAGCTGCTCACAGAGAGACTTTGTGTAGGGTTGCTATGAATAGTTATGGGGGTTGTGCAGGGCTCAACCCTAAAGAACATCTCTAATATTATATATACTATAAATTTGCATATTTATTTGACAATTTTCTGGCAGTTTGCATTTTAATATCTTATTCTAACAAAATCAGTATATTATGACAAATTTTCTGAGGGATGGGAATAAAGGGTGAGGAGGAAGAAAAAAATCTAAAGAAATAATTCAAAGTTGCATATGGCTAGTGGTGGACCTGCTCCAGGTACAGAGGTAGGGAATCAAGAATGGTAACCAGGCTGTTAGGACTCTGAAGTAACTGGTGTGTGGCTTATCACACTGCTCACTCTTAAAGACTTTTCCTCATTTTTAGACACTAGGTCTTCCTCATCTAGAAACCGAAAGTCTCTTGACATGAGTCTCAGATGCAGCTAGGTCCCCTTTTCTGTCTCTAAGCAGCTACATTTGGTGGCCTCTGTGGCTTTGCTTTCCATGTAATGAGCTGCCTTGGGAAGCCCACAATGGCTGTGTGGTCACATCACTGGGGGAGAAATGCAAGCCCAGAGGACATAAATGACAACTCAGATTCTAGATAGGTAGCTTTTCTTTGAGGCTCTCACACCTGAGACTTATGAGCTGGACCCTGGGAAGCAGAGTTGACAGGAAGCCATGAAGGAGGTGTGGGGTGGATGAAAAGAGTCATACCACACAGAAGAGAGAGGACATGAGGGAGAAGGAAAGGCAGGAATGTAGCAGAGTCAGAGGCTGGGTGTGTACAACAGTGTGACAGCGTGACACCAGTGTGACAGCAAACACAAGGGACTCACATCCGTGTTTAATTTGTGTCCCACAGCTGGGATACAGAGTGGGGATGGCCCAATATTTCTCCCCAATTCTTAAAAAGAAATCAGACACCTGTAATCCCAGCAACTCGGGAGGTTGAGGCAGGAGGATCACAGGTTCAACTTAGTGAGGCCCTGTCTCAAAATAAAGGGCTGAGGGTGTAACTCAGGGATAAAATACACCTGGATTCAATCCTCAGTACCCCCCCCCCAATGTAAAAAGATATAAAGAAATCATACACAGTGAGAAGAACACTGGGCCTAGAGTCAGGAAACCTAAGAAGCTGTCTGCCCTCTGGGTGCCCTTGCACATCCTGTCACCCCCCTGAGCCTCCATTTGTCCTCTACAGGACACAGAAGCAAAAATGCCTGCCTGAGCCACCACATGGGGGGTTACTGTGGGAAGACTGTAAAAATGACATACATATGAAGTCATACATAGGTCTAGACATAACACAAGACTTAATGTTCATCTCTGGGTTCCTAAGGTTCGTAAAGGAAGCACAAGAGACAGCCCAGCTGCTAGTGGCTATGACCCTGGGGGTGTGGTCACCATCCCTGCAACTCAGGTGTTTTCAATAGTGGGGATCATGAGATGGGACAAGATGGTCTCCAAGGTCCCTCTGAGAGCCATCTGTCTGTGAGACCAGGATGGGAATTAGGGATTAGGAAATGGGACAGCATTAGAGTCTGCCTCCAGTAATACACAGTCACTGTGATTTGGGGATAGTCTTCTACAAAGAACAGTGGCTGAGTCTGTGGGCTATTTCTCCCAGACCCACCTCTCACACTGCAGACCCTCGTGGGTGTTACCTGTCATCAGCTATTCTGCTGAGCAGGGGCTCCAGCCAGCCTGGGTGGCACTCGCAGTGGGCATCCATGAAGACCAGCACGTCCCCTGTGGCCCTGGTGGCTCCCAACATCCGGGCCCTGATGGCACCCAGTCTCTTATTGCTCCTGAGCAACTTCACACCCTCCAGCTTGGCCACATATTCGCTGAGAGCGGACTTGAGTTGTCCTGGAATCAACAAGGTTCTGGTCATTGGGGTCACAGATGCAATAGTCAATGGGACTGTGATGACCATCACTTGGGTCACTGTCAGTGGCTGTCTCTTAGAAGCCATCGTGAGCAAAAAGGTCCTGAAACTCAACTGCATTGTTATAAGGTGGTTGTTGCTAAGATGCAAGAGGCTTCCTTAGTTTGGAAGGGGTCACAATTCTATCCACCAAAAGCCAAGGCTTGGTGTGCAAAACCAGGAGAGGAGAGAACTTGCTATTGTTCTCTCATCCCCTAAAACATCCACTGAAACAAGCACATGTCTGTGAATCCTGTCTCCAGTTCTGCTCCCAGGGACCCAATCTAAGATAATGGTCAAGGCAGGTAAAGACAGGGCTCATTGAATCAGCATCTGAGAGATCACTGGGGTGCTAGCTGAGGTGGTCTCACTGTAGGGATACTGTGGTAGAACAGAATGGGAACTTTAGCAGTTTAAGAGCTAGCAGGAGTGGCTTTGCATGCTGACAAACAGCAACTCTGCTTACAGACATTTAACCGTGGAGGCTTGCAGTGGCTAACAGGTACCTTACAGATAGAGAAAACAAAGCAACAGGACAGAACAATCCCCCTTTAGGCTTAGTGCAATAAAGGTCCCTAAGCTTTATGAGCTAAGAGTCTCCAGACTGTTGACAAACTTGTATCGTATAAGGAATGTAGAATGCACTTCCAATAGAATTGCACCAATGCCCTTGCCTTGATGTACCCCAAACGTCCCTTCTTAGTCTTATTTAGGAGAGAATCTATCGAGAGCTCCAGAATAGATTAAGGAAGATTGAAGAGGCAGTTTGAAATTCTCAGAGTCTTAGAGGCAGGTGAGAAGATCACCTGGGGTAAAGCGCTCAGAGGGAGCTGGTAAAACCTGACCTGTTCCTCTCAGAGAATAGCAATGAAGTCCATTTGCAGGAAGTCTATCATGGGCTGGGCATCCCATGCACTTTCTGGTTTAATGATTCAATGTGGAAATTATTATCCCTGATGAATAATCTGAAGCTTGTCTAGATGACTCTACTGCCCAGCTGTGACTATAATTTGGGGTGACTTCAGGAAGCCTGCAGCAGCTTTGTGTCCTGGCTCTCCTCAGGTGTAAAGCAGGGTTGGTGAACTCAGGGTGGCTGTAAGGATTAGATGAGAACAGTGAATGTGGTGGCTATGGTCTGCACTCTGGGTCTCAGCAGGCACACAGGTCACAGGGGAGCAAGCTGGGGGTAAAGGGAGCCAGTGCCACCCCTGGTTGCGGGAAAAGCCTTGCTCCTCAGTGTTGGCAAGGAACATGGGGCCACTGAACAGAGAGCCAGCCTAGTGGTGAGGGGCAGAGGGAGAGTTGGTGAGCAGGTAGCAAACCTTAATGGCTGAGCATGGGATCCAGATGCCTTCTAGGGGTACTGGTCAGCACTGCAGATGTTGGAAGCAGCCACTTCCCGAACACCAGCTCCTCTACTTCCCACTCTCCTGGAGGACCCAGCCCAGATGAGGGTTGGAAGACCCACTGAGCACTTTGACCAGCAGGTCCAGCCCAGTCCAGTACCTACTTATCAGTCCTGCCCAACACCCAGCCAGATATAGCTCAGGAACACATGCACTCCCAAAACCTCTGGCTAGTTTGACTTTCTGCCATGGTCAGGTTGGAAAAAGATCCTACCACAAGGACCTTAGAAAGAAGAGGCCCTCGTCATTCTTTCCTGTCCTCTATCACTGCCTTTAGAAACATGCTTCTCAGGGCTGGGAATGTGGCTCAGTGGCAGAATTTCTGTCTGGCATGTACAAGATCCCAGGTTTGATCCCCAACACCAGATAAAACAAAACAACCATGTTTTTTAAACCTCAGAAAATGCTTAGCTTCCCTTCAATAGCCTCATCTTTCTACAAAGCTAGATGGAGCCTGTGGAGGTCATTTAGGTAATTCAGAAATGTAGGAACCAAAAACCAAAGCAGTAGTTCTCAAAGAGTGGTCCATGGACCAACAGCAACACTGACTAGAAATAGGAATTCCTGGGCCCAAGCTCAGACCCAGAAACTCTGGCCCTGTCAGGCCTGCCAGGTGACTCGGACCCAGCCTAAATTGGAGAACTGCCAACCTCAAGGTCAGATGGGGGCTTCTCTGTGTCAATCTTCTTTTCAGGTATATCCATTAGTGTTTCCTGTCATGATGGGGAAGCATTTGAGCAGATTTTTTTTAGCAGATTCAGCTCTGGCCAGTTGTTTCCTTTGGCCCCAACCTCCTTTTCTGGACAGTAGGTAAGTTGGTCTCAACAAGGTGAGTTGTAGAGCTCTTTACCCAAGTTCTAGGTTACAGTGAGCCCTCAAAAAATGGTCACCCTCTTGTGACTCTCCAGCATTTTTTGGACTGTGTTGAGGCTGGGGCCTGAGAGAGAGACCGCAGTGGGATCAGACTGCAGTGACCCTCCCCAGGACCCTTCCAGAACTTTCCACTTGCTTGGCTTCTTCCCCTTTTCTGTCTGGCTTTCCCCACTCCCTTACTGGTTTTCCCTAGGGGCTCATTATTAATAAGTTCCTTGCACATGAATTCTCACCTGGAGCTCTGCATCTGGGGAACTTGCCTAAAATGGTTTCCAAACCCCACTCTTTTGCAGGTTTCTTGTTTAAAAAAATAGTTTAAGACTCACAAGAATTTGCAGGGGTCCAGGCCCACCCCAGCGAGCCTGGAGGAAACCCATAGCTACCTTGTTGACTGAGGTCATCCACGAGAATGACCTCTTTCAGGAAAGCCCTGGGTGCTGTGTCAAGGATGCTGTGCACGGTCCTCAGGAGGGTGGACCAGGCTTCGTCATGGAAACAGAGGATGACACTGGCTGTGGGCAGGATCTCCTCAGGGCGCTGCTGCAGACACCTGCAGGGAAGAGCCAGGGAGATGTCAGGTAAAGGCTGCCCTCATCCTTGAGCTCACTCTGTGGACCTGCCCTTGTCACATGGCTCCACCCAATCCTAGCTCTCCTTGGAGTTTCTTAAAATTTCTATGGAAAGAGACTCCAACATACTTATAGTGGTGCCATCTACTAGCTCCCAGCTCTCAGATCCCAAGAGCTCCTTTTACTATATTTAATCCACACCCTCTCATTGTACTTAAGGGGTGTTGTCACCATTCTCGGCAGATGACTGTCTTCATCTGTACTACAGGAATGAATGACATTACCAACCTCAGAGAACTGTCACAAAGCTAAGTAGGATGATGTGCATTATGGTGTCCTATGAACACTAATTGACATTCATTCAAGGACAGAAACACTATTTTCTTCTTCTTTTTTTAAATTCCACAACCTAGCACAACAGCTGGGACACAATAAATGTTACCTCATTATTATTATTATTGAAGAGGGGACAAAATTTAACATTTGTGGATTGACTACATGTGACACGCTATTTGGTCCTTTGCACATATTACTACATTCACCCCCCCCCCCAAATAAGTCTGTGGGCTATGCTATCTCATGCTCATTTTACAGGTGAGACTCAGAGAGGAGACAAGAATCCTTAAGTTCACATCATTGGCAGGTGGTAGAGCAGGATAGTCTATTTTCAGAGCTCTTATGCGCTTTTTGCTTTCCTGATGGGTGGTGGGTACCCAGGGTGCACACTGCTGCCCATCCAGGGGATGTCTGAGCTTCCTTCCCTTCTGTCCAGAAGAGTAGGCTGCTTGCCACTTGCTTTCTGTCTGTGGAGAGTCTGAGTGGGCCCAACGTGAAATGAGCTGTAATAACAACCTTATATCTGGAGCTCACATTTATTCACAAAAGGTGCCTTCCTAAAATGTGTTTCTGAAGTGCTTCTTTCTGGGTTGTAGCTGCTAAAAACTATGTCTTTCCTCACAGGGACACTGGAATCTGGGCTATCTCAAGACCCTAAACCTTCAATACCTAAAGGCCTCTGTGAAGGCAGAACTATGGGCAAGCATGGCAACCAGACTGAGTCTGGTCCTGCCTGAGGGACATGCATCTGAAACAGGGTCCACTGTGCTACTCATCCGCTGAGCATTCCTGGTACCAACCACAATAGGGCTGAAAACTCTCAACACACAGATGACTCTCCAAACAAAGTCCTGCCTGCAGAGAGGGGTCAATTGGTTCTAGGTAAGGGCATTCAGGTAACAGAAAACGGAATTCCTAGATGATTAAAAAAACACACATACATCTCATATGCTAGCTAAGTGTTTTTGTTTGTTTATGAATTTTTATGCTATTTCTTTCCATAAATGTTTTGAAGCGTTTTAAGGGCTAAGGTATTTCTAGAACGAATTTGAAATTGGCTTCTGAGATTTTTGTATCCAAAGTGAAATGGGAGAGTATGACACAGCAGAATCCTCACTCAGAGAAGTCACATTCTAGGTGTTTTTAGGGAAAGCAATACTCTTTCAAGTAATTTTTTTCTTTCAATTCATAACATCTGATTTTGAAATAGTTTAAGACTCACAAGAAGTTGCAAGAGTCATGCAGAATTCTCGCGTTCCCTTCAACCAATGTCTCCAAATGATATCTTCCATAACCATTCAATTGATCAACTGTTCAATTGTTCAATACTATTAACTCAAATATGGAATATTTAGATTTTATCAAATTTTAAAAATGTTTTTTATTAGTGAATTATCATTATACATAATATTGGGGTTCATTGTGACAAGTTCATACATATGTGGAAAATAATTTGCTCCATTTCAGTCCCCAGTACTCCCCCCACCCCACCCCCATTCCTCTTAAAGGTGAAATTCATTGTGTGGTATATTCATATGTGTACATGGCATAATTTGGCCAATTTCATTCATTAAAGGAATTCCTATGTACTGTAGAAAGATTTCCCTAAATGGATGACGATGTCCTTAGAATCATCCTTAAAACAATGAACATATTTATTTGAACTTTTACCATCTGAGTTCAGGGCTATTAAAATAACATGGCCAAAGTGCAGATGGCTTCCCTGTAAGTCTGGGAGCCCTGGTGCAGGCACAAGGCAGGCTTTGCTGAGCTCTCTTACCCCTCCATCCCCCTCTTCCACTCCCTGCCTCCTCATTTGCTACTCCTACTGGAGCTTTCTTTTCCTGATTCTGTGACTTCCAGAATTTCTACTCTGTCCTCACAGCTACTCCATCCTGCTCACAAGCCCGTTTAGAGTGTCCTTTGTATCCTCTCCATTTCCTTGTCTATGGGTATAGACAAATCTAGGGGTCCTAGGACCAGGGCTGGTGGCTAGGAAAAGACAGATTTCTTCAGTGAATTCAGTGGGTTTGAAAAAAAAAAAAACCCTACATTGTTACTTGGGCATATTGCCGGAAGGTTGGCTGTGTTCTAAGATAGGAAAGGAGTTTGGGGACAGAGAGGCCTGGATTTGGAATCCCTGTGAGGGCAGTATAATGTAGGGTTGTCTTGCCCACCCACAGATCTGACCCCTTTCTTCATCCTAACCCACAGAATGTGAGACATGGAAAGCAGACATGTGTGTCCCTGTAGTAAAGTGGTTGAAAGATCTCCAACTTTGGAATCAGACCTATTTCAATTTGAATCTTCACTGTGCTGCTTCCGAAGTTTCCTTGGGTAATACACTCAATATTTATAAGCATACGTTTCCTCATTTGAAAAATAAGGATAATAATATTTGCCCATTAGGCCTGTTGTGAGAATCAAAGACTAATAGTAAGCACTCAGTGACTATTTTATTGCCATCTGGGGAAAAGACAGGATGTAATTAGCACAAATACTGTATTTATGATCATCTTCGTGAGCTGTGGCTATCTTTCATCAACTCTATGGCCTACTGATCTACTTTCACATCTGATTTTTCACACCTGCACGATGAGAATGCCAACCGTGACCACGTAGAGCTTTTGTGAGGAGTATGTCTGACCAAGTACCCAGCACCTGGCTTGTGGCACAGATCCCTCCAATGAAACAAATTCTCATTTAAACTCTAATTCTTTAAGATTACATTTCTTGCATATTCCCAAAGTTAAGAGATGAGAGTGTCCTGCTCTGCTGAATAGCTGGTGACCAGGGCACCTGACTTCTTCTCTTTGGCCTTCTGGAACATTCTCTAGAACCGCAGTCTCTCCTGACAATTCAGATTATGTCTCTGGAGTTTTGCAACTTACCACCTGTGCAAATGATCCTGGGTAAGTTAGTTGGCCCTTGGCACCTTGGTTTCCTCAGAATAGAAACAATAGCACCTAATTGCTAGGGCCTCTGTGAAGATTAACTGACCCTCATAAAACATTGGGGAAAGTCCTGAATGTCTACTGCCATTATTAACAAATACACCATTACTATAAAAGGTACCTCTAAGGCTCTTGCAGCCTTGAGATGCATTGTTCTTGATTCTATGGGCTCCCTTTGCAGTAGATGGAAAATCAGGGAAGCAGGCATTCCAAAGAGAATTTCATAGACTCCTCTTGGTCCTGAATTATTTGGGTTTCATGAACAGATGCTAAGTGTGTTTTCACAGTGACAGAAGAGATGACAGGCTGATGGATGGGCAGAGAGCTGAGCAGGGCAAACTAACAGGCTGCTAAGGGTTTTTCAGGGCCTGGTGGACCCTGGAGGGGGATATGTCCCCATGCCATGGAGGAAGGTCTCCTGGCAGTAGCTCAAAGAGGATCCTTTCCCCTCTTCCAGGGGAAGAAACTCACACAGCCTTCAGGACCCCACACAGACTACTGCGGGCCATCTTTCCAGGCAACTGCAGAACTGCTGGGAAACCAGAGCTGAAAATAACCATGGAAATAATCTGATATTTCAGGGGTGGACCAGCACCTGCTCTGAGTGAGCCCCCACTGCCAGTGTCAGAGACCCTAATGACAGAACTCAATATTATAAACAGAAGGGTGCAAGGCCTTGTGTGTCAGGGCCTTTTAAGGGATTTTAAGGGGACCCATGATTGATTATCTTGTTTCTGGTGGCAGAGAGACCTGTGAATGGTGTAAGCTGGATAGCTCCCAGACACCAGACGAAGGAAGGGATAGCAAAGACACGTGCCATTTTAACAGATTTACAGGCTCTGGGATGGTCTTCACCTGCCTGAGGGCAGCACAGAGCCACCTGGGGATGGGAAAATTGGATGAGTTCTCTCTATACTCATAGACACAAGTGGCAGCGAAGTGGAGAAATTGAGTGTGACGTAGATCCCCTGAGAGCAGCCAAACTCCACCCACCTTGCTCCAAAACTATTAGTTTAGGGCATCTTAGGAGGAGACTCGGAGTGAAATGGACAGGAGACCAGGATTGGTCATTGGGTTCAAATGCTGAGCCTGTTCTTATGTGACTTGGGCGACTGATAAAAACTGAAAATCTTCCTTCCTTTCAAGAACTTTCAGATCCTCAGGCCTGTTTTCATCTTCAGTAATCAATTCTCATTTCTTGCCATCCTGTTGACTCCATTAAGTCCTTTCTGAGCATGCAATGTGCTTAACCTCAGCTTCCCCGTCTGTGAAAAGGGGCTGCGGAGAGGATCAAATGAGTTAATGTGTATGAAGTACTTAGCTCGGTGCCTTGATCAGAGTAAGAGCTCAACAAATGTTAATAATTACTTCTTGCAAGCCTCTCATGTGGCTGCATACCTCTCTAAGCCTCAAATTATTCATCTATAAAATAAGGATAATAAAGGAGTTACTTTAGAGGACTGTGTAAAGATTAGATAAGCAAAGGTTTAGGTTGTGTGCTTTGTTCACAGCAAGCTTCCAATAACTGAAAGCTGTTACTATCACTGTGTGCTGATTAACATGTCTCTGAGGTTGTCCTTCAGCATGTCTCTGCAGTTTGGGGACAATGGAGGACATGGTCAGGTGCTTTGGGAATAACAATAGAATTTCCCCATGCACTATCTCACTTAATCACATCCCCACCATTGGGT